ATGAATTTTTCCAAGAAATTTACTTAGTGACTAGTACTTTATAATCTTCCTAGCCTAGAACATGCCCTCTCTCGAAGACAGTGTCTCCTATAGTCCTGTCTGGTACTGAATATGCAGTGTAACTGATGATAACATTGAACTCCTGATTTTCCTGCCTTAACTTGCTAAGTGCCAGGATTTCAGGTGTGTACTACCACATCCAGCTCCTCTCCTTTTCTCTAACAAAGGGTGGCCAAATTCGAGAATCTGGAAGAACTTAATTTAGATGTGTTCCAAGTGATTATATACAGGTTCAGCAGAGTCACTACTAAAGTCTCCAAGTTGCTATTACCTGAAAAACTAACAGGAAAAGAATTGCTGACTTGGAGGTCAAAGACCAACTTCATTTCCAAATTCTAGGTATCTGAAAAAGGACTCTAGTTTTTGAAAGAATCAACCCAAGACATGTAAAATTTTATATATCACACATTCATAGGAAGGAGTTGGGTTATGTATAAAATAAACTCTCATGTATCTTCAAATATTTCATATGATAAAATGCATTGCTTTCTTAATGAGCTAATTTAAAAGTTACATTCTTACAAAGAGGAGTCTCCGGGTGTGGTGGTGCATGCCTTTAATCCCAGCACTTGGGAGGCAGAGGCAGGCGGATCTTTGTGAGTTCAAGGCCAGCCTGGTCTACATAGCGAGTTCCAGGACAGCTGGGGCTACAGGGAGACCCTGTCTCAAAAAGGGAGCCCCGGTCCCAAAAAAAAACAAAAAAAAAAAAAAAGACAAAAAAAAGAGTCCTGATTAAATATAACAAAATCGAGTGTTAGCTTGTTAGCCTAATTCAGTGTTCAATGAAGTCGAGACACACAGCCCCAAACACTGATTTGTAGAAACGCATTCAACAGAAAACCATTCTATAGCCCACAAAATGTCTCAAGCCAAATTTCATGTTACATGGCAATACATGATGTGAAATCAACCTGAAAATCATTTTTTAAAAAGTACTATTAAAAAGAGTCACTCAGTTCATACTTCAGTCCATTTAAAAACCACTTCTGACATTTCTTTCTTCTCCCTCCTGCATCCTCTAGGTTTTGACGTTCGATGAGGATCAAGCTCTTAATTCTGAGATAGAGGAAAAACGACCTTGAGGTTCAGGAGAACTCACTATCTAGCCACTGAAGAGTCAGGTGCACTAACTCTATGTTGGCTAACTTCTTCAGGCAGGCCCAGACAAGCCCAGACATGTTGTAAACCTTCAGTTGCTGCCCCCCGCCCTCCCCTGGGCATGTAGAAGCCATATAAGGTAAAAACAGAAACTTCTGGCCCTTCTGGCCCCAAAGATAAGTCAGCACATTCCAGTGCCCTACAGACAGCCCCTACCAATCAGAATCTTCCCCTACTCAGGACATAGGGCCATCCAATCATTTTAAAGGATGCCTGGTATGCAGGGGCGTCTGTGAAACTTCCCTATAAAAAGCTTACTCCACCCTGGCTCGGGGCTCTCAATTGGATCTGCTGCATTGGTGAAATCTGAGGGCCCGAGCTTAAACCAGAATAAAGGCTCTTTGCTTTTGCACACTCTCTGGACTCCTTGGTGGTCACTGGGGGTTGCTAGATCTGGGCACAACAGCCACAACTGATTATCTGACTTTTTCAGGTTTCATCTCCTTCTAGGAATCTCCCTGACCCTTCTGGTTAAGGCTGAAGACTATATAGTCTCTATGATAAACCTAATCTGTTGAAGACACCAAGTACAGGAAACATCCTGGACAGAGCTGAAAATTCATTATTTGGTGGCATACACTTAATAATATCTATCTCTCTCTATATAAAAATCAAGTGTGGATCCAAATATCTAAAGACAAGGGGTAAGGAAAATTCAAAAGTACTGATGACTTTTCAAACCTTTCCACCCCTAAAATCCTGAAGAATTAGGACATGGGTGATGAAAATGAAAAGGGTTGAACTGCATGTTAATTCTGTGACTTTAAAAGGCCAATTCTATAGTAGGATAGAAAAATAAACAAGAACACTGATATCCATCCATTGCAGAGGAAAAAAACAAAAAAACAAAAACGAGTTCAAATAAAGGGACTTAGTTCCTTCTTGGAGACATGAAATTCATGCTTAAAAAATAATTTCTGAGCTGGGCGTGGTGGTGCATGCTTTTAATCCCAGCATTTGGGAGGCAGAGGCAGGCGGATCTTTGTGAGTTCAAGGACAGCCTGGTCTACATAGTGAGTTCCAGGACAGCTGGGGCTACAGCTCCGGAGACCTTGTCTCAAAAAGACCAAAAAAAATTTCTGGGGGCTGGAGATGGCTCAGTGGTTAAGAACACTGGTTGTTCTTGCAGAAGACCCTGGTTCAAATCCCAGCACCCACATGGCAGCTAACAACTGTTGGTAACTCCAGTCCCAGGGGATCCAGCAGCCTCTTCTGACCTCCATGGGCATTGCACGGCATGGGTGCACTTACCTACATGCAGGCAATACACACATATACATAAAATAAAAAAATAAATTTCCTAGGTGGGCATGGTGGCGCACTTTAATCCCAGCACTCGGGGAAGCAGATCTCTAAGTTCAAGGCCAGCCTGGTCTACAAGGTGAGTTCCAAGCCAGCTGGGGCTACAGGGAGACCCTGTCTCAAAAACACCAAAAAAAAAAAAAAAAAAAAAAAAAAATTCCTAAAACTGTTCTCATCCCAACATGTTATTAAGCCTGTGTCTCTCACATTATATATTCCAATGACCTCAAAAAAGGGTACATTATATTAACATGTGGCTCCTCACTTTCATACTGTTTTTTCCTCTAGGGGAAATGCCTTTTCTTCATGCTTCTCCATCTTGCTCAGGTGCCTCAAATGCTTCCATTTTACAACTCATACATTTAGCAAGTCCTGGGAAACATACAGCATTGATTGCTCCTTGAGTTATTGAGCCCTAAACTACAATGCTGCATGGTTACAATTTTAGGAAGAAGTTTTCAGTGTAGATCAGTTTTACTTATCCTTGCATAACCAGCACTTGGGCTGAACACATTATAAGGGCCCAATAAATATTTAAAATAGTAACATGGGGGCTGGAGAGATGGCTCAGCGGTTAAGAACACTGGTTGTTCTTGCAGAAGACCCAGGTTTGAATCCTAGCACCCACATGGCAGCTAACAACTGTATGTAACTCCAGTCCCAGGGGATCTGACAGCCTCTTTTGACCTCTGCAGACATTGCACAATATGGGTGCACTTACCTACATGCAGGCAATACATGCATACACAGAAAAATAGTAATGATTTTTTTAAAAGTTAGAAGTGAGAAATCTGAGGATCAGTTGAGGTAGTGTGAAAACAATGAACACAGCTTTCTAAGATTCTGGAAGTAAATAAATGATAGTTGGGGGTACACCCTGAAGCTGTCCTGTGTTCTGGTATACTACTTTCTCACTGAACTGCTGTATACCTTAAGGTTCCCATGTCATCATGCAAAATAAAATTTTTGCTTATGAGGTAGCTGACCCATTTAAATAACTACAAAGTAGAGTACTTTTAATGAATATTTCACCTTCATCTATTATACTAGGAATTATGATGCAGATGTTCCGAAACTTACTAATTTCCTTTGTGTGTGGTGTATGAATGTGCAAGTGTGTATTTAGGTGCACTTGCCCACCTGGGCAAATAAAGGCCAGAGGTTGACATCAAGATGTCCTTCTCAACTGCTTCTTCATCTTAGTTTTTGAGACAGGGCTTCTCACCAAACCTGGAGCTCCCAAGACAGCCTTTCCCCACTTTTCCAGAGCTGGTGTTGCCACTTTTATGAAAGTGCTGGGGACCCAAACTCAGATCCTTATGCTTGTGCACTGAGAACTTTACCCACTGAGCTATCTCCCCAGCATCCAAGAAATATATTTTAGAAATAGTACATTTTCAGTTAAGATTTGTAACACTGTTGTCTCTTGGATGGCTGAATTAACTCCAATTTCTTTGGTAACCCACATGCTTTGGAAACCAAGTTTTAAAAAAGTCTTTTATCTCTTCTGCCCCAAAAGAAATAGAGCAGAGCAATTTTGGGGAAAATCAACTAGTGAACTGTAATATTAGTCATGGGTACATTCTTTAAAATGTGGTCTTAGCAATTTTTCTTTGGGGAAATTACTGTCTTTCTCCTGAAGTGCTGAGGATGGAACACAGGAATGTGCGTTATCAGGTAAGCACTTTTAGTGCTGAGCTACATCTAGCCCTTTTTTTGCTCTGCCAATCATATCTTAAAATCACTTATTTTACAATCACAAAGTGAGTTCCAAGATGTGACAACAACCCAGGTGTGGGACTGTAGATAATTAACTTCTAATAGTTGCCCAGTACTCATTTCCCTGTTCTTCAAATTTATCCCAAAATAGTTAACCAAGGAACATTCGTTCCTCTTGGACACACTAAGCTTTCTGAACTGTCCAGATCAGGAAAGTAGGACATGAATCTGACTATGAAACTCTTTTCTCAGAGACTGTCTGGGAAACAGAAATATCTTTTAAGAGTTATTTCTTCAACACCCCTTAGGGCCTGGAGTATAATGGCTGTGAATGCTTTACATATCAATCACTGTAGAACAAGAAAAGCCTGTTTTTCTTGACATTTCCTTACCATTCTGTTTTAGAAGCCAACCACAGGTTCACTAAAAGAGACTACTCTGTTTTCATCTTCTAGTGACATCAGGTGGTTAGGAGAGAAAAGACCGAGGGGGGAAAACATGGCTACGTAAGCTATGACGCTTTAGTATTTTTTACTTTAAGTTTTGAAGGAAATATACTACCCTGTTTTACCACCAGATTACTGTTTACTCTTTCCTAGTCTGTGGTGACCTCCCATACCTACTCAAGGGCCCTTCCCCATGTCACATTCAGATGTGCCACATCTCAAGATTTACCAAAAACTACAAGGTTTTAAATTTCACTTTTAATTATCTTTTACTTAATAATAAAATGAAAAATAAGAATATATGAATACATACAATCTATATACACATATTTATTGCAAATACTTAGAATTCTTATTAAAATGATTTTTTATTTGTGAAAAAATATGACTTATTAAGTGGTGTTGACACCAACTTCTCTGTACATACCCTCAATTCCAATGTTAACAATTCCTTTAAAAAGGCAAAAGACACACAAGTTTAGCATTTTCCAAACCAGTCTATACAAACCTTATCACCAGAGGGGGAAAAATAGCTTGTGGTAAATAAACAATTTTCTTGTAAAATAAAAAATAAAGCCACAAATTATTCCCCTTATTGCATTTTTTGGGGGGAGGGGGAAATAATCTGAGCATCTTTAGAGTAACTCCTTTGAAATAATTTGTGCCTTAACAAGTGAGGTCCTACATTAAGCATAACATATATGAGAAATTCAGTCTTCCACTGTCACTTTTTACATAGATATTAAAATATATATTACTTAAAATATATTATTGGAAAGTTATTTTAAAATTGATCTTTAATAGTTGTATCAAATGTAAAGCATTAAAAAAAATAAAGTAACCAAGACTCTATGAAGCTACTGCTTCAACTTTAGGAAATGTCTTACCTACTGTTTTTGTTCAATAGGTATGTAGGTATTGAAACATGTAGGAAAGGTCCCTGCCTGTCATCATGTTTCCCGAAGTCTCTTTGGACTGTTCTATAAATTGAGCTGCAAACTAACCATGGCCAATTTTTTCACTTAGTACATTGCTGTAATACAATGGGGAGACTTTTCCCTTCTAGCTATGATGTGATGTCAAAGAGAAAACAACTTTGTTTCATTGACAGTGAGCTCTAAAATATAGTCTGAGCAGAGGAAGCCCCTTTCGCTCTAACAAATCATTTAACCACAGAGCTCATTAAGGTGGAGGAAAGCAGTAACACACAATCAGGTTGGTGACTGATGGGTCTTTAATCTGCACATTTCATCTCACCTGGAAGGCAGTGAGGTCTTTAATTCACATCTGAGATAGGACCTACATCTGTATATCCATGGAAGCACCCTCTTCCCAAGAGAAGGAAAACTCCCTCACTGGCCAGCTCTTATCCTTAAACAATGTTACATGGAATACCAGAGGCAGCCTCAGTGTCTTAGACATAGGTGCTAAGACCTGAAGCAGAGCAAACAACTCCAGGCTATTTTATTTGGCCTTATTTTTTATTTAATGGGATGAAGAACATGGATTACTTAAAAATCTCTTAAGATTTCAGGGAGTGTTCTACTAGGCAACTTAGAACATTTATAAACCACACTGAGATGATAGATTATGAATACATCTCTGAGAAGTGGCCTGCAGCAGATGTTACTTGGAAGCTGGAGGGGGCACACTGGAGGCATATGCATCAGGTATGTCTTAAAAGTTCACTGGAAATTGCTACTTGAAAGCCCAAAGAATAAATGTAGCACCTATTAAACCATTTCAGAATGAATTTAAAGGTTAAACTAAAAAAAGCTACAATAAAAATTGTGTTAAAAAGAATTAAGCATCAAACTAGAATTTAACGGTTCAGACTAATGTTTTTTCTTTTCACTTGTAAGATGAATGTTCCACTTCTGAAACCACTGTTTTAAATAAACAAAGACAAACTGGTATTTACTTCTGATGTAAGAAAAAATTTCATTTTGTGAAGCCTGAGGCAGTGAACCTAGTTGGCAACTTCTGGAGTATTCCTGAAGGTGAATATTTAGCTGGGTGCTATTTGGGGACTCTGGTAAACAGCAATATCAAGGATCTAAATCTGGAGTATGGATCAAGAGAAGAGGCACGATGTCGTTTCCTTTTTAAATGAAACTGACAGTCCCAAATTTCTTCCTCCTGTCCATCCATTCTCAGATTAAGGGAACCACAAAGAAAAGCCTTTCTGATAAAATCCATTTTCACCAATACAAACTAGCAGCTGACACTTGCATGAGGTTCATTCTGAATCACTCAACCTCTTCCAGCACAAAGAGGGGAGTGGACAGGCTGGACATGAGGGATTACCCAGAAACACGTCTTTTCTAAAATCCCATGGGGATTACCCAAGGTACTCAAGATTTGGGAGAACACTGGCTTCCGTTTCCTTTTCACTTCAGAACATACACTTCACTCCTGAATCCTTGAACATTTCTTGGCTCTTAGCTGTGCGAATGCTGGGACAAAGAAGGAAGATGGGGTATCATATTGTCTTGGCTGATGCTGGAACAGAGATACTAAACCTATAATCACTTTGGGCTATAGTAAGAGCCAGAAAAAATGAAATACAGTAAATGTGAGTTTCTAGTGGAGTTTGGAGCAGGGGCTATGAACACCAAGTGTGTGATGTAGAAGGCAGGGTGGCCAGCAGAATACAAAGTACATTAATTACTGTTTCTTTCTCCAAATCTGGAATGTGACTTAAAGGGTTAAACTGTCCTAAATTCTATAAATACTTTTGAATATTAAACATAAATGTACCTATACGAGGCTGCACTAATATTACAGCACACAGTTCAAATTAGAAGACTTTAAATGTCCTATTGAATACCAAATTCTGGTGAAGTATGGGCTTTCCCCTCTTTTCCATGAATGGCCTTTAATTATGACCTAAACAGTATTTACTTAGAATCTGTCACTGGTGAAGAAATTTTTCTTTGTGTATAGCACTGGCTCACCTGGCACTCACTATATAGATCAAACTCACAGAAATCTGCTTACTGCTGTTTCCTGAATGCTGGGAGTAAAGGCATGTGCAACTTACGCCCAGCCTGCTAGAGAAGGACAAAACAAAAAACAGACAAAAAACCCCAGCAAAATTTGGATCCAAGTTTTCTTCCAGATGCTCCCTTTGTTATTCGTAATGCTCCTTCACATCAGGCATACTGCTATCTTGACAGCAGCAATTTCAAAATAGTGGGCATATTTTCTAAATAGCATAGTCTTGTACTGTGTGTGGGTACATATATGTGTTTATAGTAAGATGACAAAGATCACTACATCCTTCTCACATGCCTGGGATGTTGAGACAGGCTGAACAGAAGTACCACTGAGGAGCTTTTTTGTTTTTTTAAAAACCTGTAACAACAGGCATACATGACATTAGGAAATGGGTTGGGAAAAAAATAAAAGGGGATATACCTTGTGTCCAGTGTTCAAATCATTCTCCAAAGTTCTTGATGGTCAACTGGATTTCTGCAGTTTCATTCCCTTTGCCCACCAAGACACAGTCCAAATCCTCTTATCGCTAACATGTCTGCTCATATTTCACTGGTATTTCAAACCTTTTTGTGGGGTTCCCATGAATGATGCAGTGTGAGGATGTATTATTGCTGGAATTACTGCCATGCACAGACTATACAGAGGGGCCCTGAGAGGCAGACCCTTCATAAACAGTATTCACTATCTCAGACAGGGGGAGTGGGCTTAAGGAACAGCAGGGCTCTGTTTGACAACAGTATTGATTCATAGAAGCCAAAAGCTAAGGTATGGATTTCAGGGTCAAAACCACTGCCTGGAACATTAATACCTTTAAAAAAAAAAAAAAAAATCCACTTAAACCAGTTGCACCTAAGGTAAAGGGATGAGTAAACCCTGAATCGAAATCCCAAAGGCCAAATCATCTATGCAGGACCACAGCCAGACTGTGAAGATACGATCAGTGTGAATGGTTACTTCCCTACCATTCTTTTCCTTTTCCCAGCTTCAGGAAAGGTTGGAAGGCAGACAGCATCCCTTCACCATGCATGCCATTCAACTTTTCTCAGCACCTAAGGTAAAGGGATGAGTAAACCCTGAATCGAAATCCCAAAGGCCAAATCATCTATGCAGGACCACAGCCAGACTGTGAAGATACGATCAGTGTGAATGGTTACTTCCCTACCATTCTTTTCCTTTTCCCAGCTTCAGGAAAGGTTGGAAGGCAGACAGCATCCCTTCACCATGCATGCCATTCAACTTTTCTCAGAGTTGAAAGAAATGGAACATAAACCTGAATTCAAAGTAATACATCATTACCTAAACTCTTGGAAAAACAATGTTATAACAAAATGTGACATATTTACATGATTTTATAAGTGCAAACTTGTCACCAATTCAGTCTTATGTAACTCAGACTTACTATACAAGGTGCTCTTCCTGTAAAATGTAAAGACCTGTACTCTGTACTCCTGATTAATGCTTATCTCCTAAGACAATTAAAACTTTATTTCTGTGATTCCAAAAGGATGCAAGAACACATCTTGTTAACCCTTCCCTTCCCTTCTTTACAGTATGTTCTAGTCTCACTACCGAACAACAAGGCAGGAGACACACAGTTTGGAGGGGCCAATGCAATCATCATGGCAGAAAGCTCCACATCCTTTGCACATGATCATGGCTTTCAATCGGCAGTAACATTTAGAAGGTGTGTCCTCGATGCTGTTCTCTTCAGGAAAGGCCTGAACAGGAATTGTCTGGCCATGGCTGTTGGGATTCATAGCTTGGCTAGCAGGGATGGTAGTGACAGTCACTGAAAAGGACATAACATCACCTACATTGCTAGATACCTGGCCACCTGGTACAGAATTATGGTCCATGTCTGATGAGGTGGAGACATTAATCATGCCTCTGTAGCTTGGCCCTATCTGTGTGGGGCTTCCATACAATTTGGGGGTTTGCAGTGGTGGAAGAAGTAGAGGTTGACGGGTGGGACTGTCTGCAGGGAGAGAAAGAGCAGAATTGAAAAGCTCAGGGCTGCTACATACTGCTTTCCCCCTGGCAGCATGAGCCATTTGTTTCTGTGCTGCCTGAATAAAATTTCTAGCTAGGGATTTTTCATCAAATGTTTGGCCTCTAGAGAACATGTAATTCTCCTTGCTTAAAGTGGTTTGCTCACTTACTGGTGCCTCATCCTTACCATTCTTGTTAGTTAAACAATCATTGGTGGGTGGAGTTTCCTTACTGTGGGATCCTAAATTTGCATCATGCTTGCCAAAACTCTGGGAAGCCTGTGGCTCCTCCTTCACAAACACAGGCTCTTGCTCATTGCCAGCACTTTCCTCATCAGTTTCATCTTCTTTGCTGCTGCTACTATCTCCTGTTGGGTTTTTACAATCTGCATATCCCATTCTCAGGGCTTCTGTGGGGCTATTTAGACAAAATCGGTCTTCAGGGTTTACAGAATGGGTCCTCCTAAAGCTCTCTGAACCTCGGCCATAGGTGGAAATATTAAGTAAATAATGACCTGCCATTGCAGGTTTGGATGTCCTTCTGCCAGCAAAGCCCAGCATGAACCTCTGGCTTGTGGAGATGTCTTCCAACTGGAAACCTGAGTGCACAAAGTTGTACTGGGCAGGTGGCACAAATGAAAGAACACTTTGCCTCTGAACCCTCTGGATGAGAGTCTGAAAGATCTGATCTTGGGTTGCTTTATTTAGTCCTTCTTGAAACTGGTGTGTGTCAATGCAAGAGTCCCTTGGGTCCCTAGCTGAAAAGAGGGGCCTGAGCACCTGGGGAAGCTGCTTACTCTGCAAGGGTTTCCCTGGTTGCTGGATAGGCAAATGGGACTGCCTACTATTAACTTCTTCTCTGGTGCTGCTTTCTGTCATGTTGGTACCTGTGAGCACTCCTATCCCCCTTTCCTCTTTTGCAGTCAGTGGAACAGTTTTCATTTCAACTTTGGTGAGAGGTTTAGGCAGAATTTGCTCCATGGGCACATCTTTGCCCTGGAGCAGCTGAGTAACTAAAGGATTATTAGCAGGGATACTAGAACTTGGTCTTGAAATAGGTCCATTCATACTTGCAGAAGTTACTGGGGTTTTAAGGCTAGAAGCTGCTGGCAAAGTGCTTGAGGGCGGGGTTGATCCAGTAGACAATGCAGCTCCGCTGACCTGGGGCACAGGGAGTTTTTCTAAATTGGCTGTTGTCAATAAAGATGTTACAGGAGAGGAAGTCATATCCATTGGAACCGTAGCAGGTGTCTTTGCTGAGGCTGGAGGGTTTGGTGAATTCTTATCAGAACCTGCTTTGTGTTCAACTATTCCATCAGCTACAAAACAAACAGTTGAGGCTCCTGATATCAGGGCAGGTCCTGCTGAAGTAGTATTCTCCTGTCTGCAACTACTTGGGCCTTGTGGGTGGCAAGGAGAGGCCACTGAGGCTGTTGACCTGCTGGGGTTCAACTTTTCCCTGTTGGATTTCTCTCTGTGGGCTGGTAATGGGATGCTTGTGCATCCTCCAGCAACGGCAGATGCTGGAGGCACTGAGGAGGTTTGCTGTAATTGTGTTCCAGACACACCAGGAAGCTGGGCTTGGCCTGGAGACTTGGTCTCAGGTTGGGGATGAGTCTCTGGTCCACAGGGTAAAAGCTCTCTCGTACCTCCCCTGCTTCCAGTTCCTGCCAGTTCCAGTGTGGGGTCCTTTCCAGTTGTACTGACTCTGTCTGAACCTGGACTCCCGCCTCCAGAAGTTTTCCTTTCATCACCCTCTCTTGGACTTTGTCCACCCCCAGGGCCAGGTCCTGGAATGGTCCCTCCAACTGAGGCGGCTGCAGCAGCGGCTGCTGCAGCTGCAGCTGCTGCCCTCTGTGCTTTGACCAACTGGGCTTTTGCTTTGATGTCTGCGAGAGTTCTGGCTCCTGTTCTGTTAGGACTAGTGATGGAGATTGGAAAACGAGCCCTGGGAGAGACCTGCGATGGAGAAAACAGCATGGGGGAGATCCTGGAGACCGGGATCTGAAAAAATTAGGAGAGGAGAAAAGCAGAGCTCAGTTTTCAGTTATAAAAAAAACTTCACGAATACATTTTAGAACAGAACAACACAACAGCACTGTGACATACACGGCTGGTCTACAACTAAGCAAGTATCTAGGGTCTAATCCCACTGTGCCCAATTATGTAAGGGATCATGTACATAATGTATGCTCTTGATGATTTTTATCCCTGGTTAATACTATTACTTACTTGTACGACATTTTAAAAACCGATGCACTACTAAGTTTGATTTTTATATTATAAAAAAAAAATCTGACTAATCCTATAAGGAAAGCTACAGAAGGCAATAACAGTGCAGCAAGATATAGACTATTGTAGTACTTGGCTAAGTTAAAGGAGCAAATATAATTGTTAGACATGATGTGAGCATGTAACTGCAGAAATTAAGTGACTAAACTCTTAAAAAAATGCACACCATTTTTCTGTAAATTGTTCAATTATGACTAGTAAGGTTACTAAATTCTTTTTTTTTCTGGTCTTTTTGAGACAGGGTCTCCCAGTAGCCACAGCTAGCCTGGATTTGCTATGGAGACCAGGCTGGCCTCAACTCACAGAGACTCACCTGCCTCTGTGCCTCTCAAATGCTGAGATTAAAGATGTGTGCCACTATGCCTGGCTCTACTAAATTCTATCACTTTCATTTCTCAAAGTCAGAAGTGCTGAAAAATTGAGTCTCCATACCTCAGAAATTAGAGGTGTGGTATTTTATAGCAGATGTCACAAAATCCATGTACTTTCATCTCCATCATAAGGTATACTATTTTGTTTTACACCCAATTCTAAAAACCTTAGGTAACATAGTTGTCTCAGCACATATATTTTAGAAACTGCTCACAGTAGAAAGAAGTAATTACCGCCTCTTGTTAATATAAAGAGACGATGTGGGAAAATCGATAAAACTACAATAAGCAAGTTGTTCGGGGGAATTTTATATAAACAACCTTAAGAATATTCTTAGCCGGCCTAGTGACACAAACCAGTGATTCAAGCTAGTGAAGGAGAATTGAAAACTCAAGGCCAGTCTGGGTAAAAACAAATTCAACACCAACCTAAGAAATTTAGCAAGGCTATCTTTTTTATTTTTGGGTCTTTTTGAGACAGGGTCTCCCTGTAGCCCCAGCTGTGCTGGAACTCACTATGTAGACCAGGCTGGCCTTGAACTCAGAGATCCGCCTGTTTCTGCCTCCCAAGTGCTGGGATTAAAGGCGTGCGCCACCACGCCTGGCAGCAAGACTATCTTAAAAGAGAAAAACTAGTGGGCTGGAGAGATGGCTCAGTAGTTAAGAGCACAGGCTGCTTTTGCAGAGGACCAGGGTTCAAATCCCAGAACTCACATGGCGGCTAACCATCATCTAACTCCAGGCTCAGGGGTTCCAACACCCTCTTCTGACTTCTGTGGGCACTGTATAACACGGGTACACTTACATACATGCAGGCAATACACGCATACACATAAAATATTTTAAAAAGTGAAACAAAACAAAAAAAGAGCTGAGATACAGCTCAGTGGTAGACCATGAGGCCCTAGGTTCACTCCCCAGTCTAAAGTAAAAGAGTAACTAAAGCAAACTTCCAATGAAATCATTTAGAGGGATTTGAGGAGTGAGATAAAATGGAAGGAGAAATGATTACATTATTTGGTCATAGGAAGTCAAATGTTCAGTGTAGAACCACTCCAGCTTAACAGAATGGGCAGAATAAGATGCAATCTAGCCTGTTTACAGAGAAATTGAAAAAAATGGATTTTAGTGGCACTTACCTACTAAAGTAAGACCTAAAATATAATTCAGTTTTCAGGTAAAGTACTGACTGCACTCAGGACCAGAAGCAGAAAGACTGAAAATCTGGGCTAGGTGAGAAGACCACAGTCTCAAAGATACAGGTAATAAGGACCAGGAGCTACAGGCCTGGCAGGACACTTAAGTCCTTTACTCGAATATTAAGGAAGATCTGAAGGAATGCAGTTCTAAATGCCTATTAATTTATAATACCAGTTACACATATAATAAACATATGCAACTGCTTCTACATTAAGACCACACGTTATATGAAATTTAGTAGGTACAACAACTTTCTTACCTTGAGAGGTGGTACTTTTCGCACCTGGACCCTGTCCCCTCTATTAAGAAAGGGCTGTGGCGAAACCTGAAATGGCTGCTGGTGCTGGCGATTCTCAGTGATACGTGGTCTTTTCTCCCAGCTCCCAGTGGCCTCTTCTTGGGTAAGAGATTTCCTCTTGAGGCTTTCTGGAATCTGATCAATCAGAGTTGCTGGAGGTTTTTTCATATTAGGATCTTGTGGATCTGCTTCTGCTATAGACTTTGTTATGAGTTTTTCCAACCCAGAACTGTTGGACTTGCTTGGGGATATAGCCAATGCTTCTTGGCTCTCATTTTTGTTATAATTAGAAGCTATAGCAAGATGATTTTCTTTCTCACACTCTTGTTCGGCACAGGCAACTGGCTTCTGTTCTAAGAGATCCTCATCCTTAGGGCACTTAATGGAAATCACACTGGTAAGCTCATTTGTATCGTTAGCTGAATCAATGAGAGGCTCTGACGATCTGAAGTTTGGCTGTGCTTCATCTTGGCTGTCTTGCTCTTCTTTTCTGACTGGTGATGGCATTTGCACTGCTTCTTCTTTACACTCTGACTGGGGAACTACTGGGATTATTCTGACAGGAGAGGCCTCCGATGGAAGTACGGATTTTGGTTGCTCAGCTGGGGTTTTCTTTACTTTGGGATCACTAGGGGATGCTGTCAGTTTCTTCAAATCTTCAAGGCTCAATCCAGAACTAAAAAATGAAAGATATTTTGGTTGAGAAATCTTTTGTTACTGAAAACATGAGAAAAGTAGACCATGTCAGTAACTAGAACCCTCAAAACATAGTAGGTATTTTTCTGTATTAGTCTTGAGCTGAAGTAATGATACTCAAATCCTGACTCTGATACCAATTGTCCATGTGATGCTAATTGACTAGGCCTCTGTACCTTAGTTTCTTTAACTGTACATTCAAATTAATGACTTCATAGTATTGTCATGATGTTTAAGATGTTCCATATTAAGTACTTGCTTAGCATATATAATGATGTTCTATAATGGTTATTATTGTTACTTCTGTTTATACAGGAACCTAGAGGCATGCATTATAGACTACTGGGACCTGAAGAATAGTCAAGAGTCCTCCACCCTGATTTGGGTTTGGACTACATATTTAAAGACAGGGTTTCGCTATGCAGTCCTAATTGGCCTGGAAATTGCTACATAGGCCATGCTGGCCTTGAACTCACATTGATCTGCCTGCTTCTGTCTCTGGAGTGCTGGGATTAAATGCATACATCATTAAAAGTGTATGCTACCATGGCCAGACAGAATTACTATTATTTATAACAGTAGTCCAAAGACCATTTATATCTCAACGCAGAAAAATTGGCATTAAGACTTGAGACAGGGTCTCAATGTGTAGCCCAGCTGGCCTGGGACTCACTTTATAGACCAAGCTAGCCTCAAAATCAGAGACCCGGTTGTCTCTGCCTCGAAAGTACTAGCATTTGAGATTCTTATTTTTTTGAGTTCTGTTTATTTTTTAATTTCATGTGCATTTGTGTTTTGCCTGCACGTAAGTACACCAGGCATGTGTAGTACCCACAGAGGCCAGAAGAGGGTGCTGGATCCCCTGGAACTGGAGTTGGACAGTTGTGAGCCACCATATAGGTACTAGGAACTGAATCTGGATTCTATGCAAGAGCCACTAGCGGCTCAACTGCCGAGCCATCTCTCCAGTGTCCATCTGAGACTTAATCTCAGCAGGAATCTATTGTAAATAACTGTGAATACTACTTGGAGATAAGAAAAGAAGCCCTTAAGTTCTCAAGCTGTGGTCAACCCTCTTCTCACAGCTGCTACTGATATGCAAAGAGGAGAGAGGAAGACTAACAAATAAGAAGCAGAAATCCTATTCAAACCCACAGCTCTATTAGCTAATTATTATTATTTATTTCTAAAATATTTTGTTTATTATTTCTATTTTATGAAATAAAATGTGTCATGCAATGCCTGTGGAGTACAGAAGAAGGCACTGGATTCCTCTGGTACTGGAGTTACAGATGGTTGCTAGCCACCATATGGGTGCTGGGAATTGAGCCCAGGTCCTCTGCAAGCATAGCTAGTGCTCTTAACTGCTGAGCCATCTCTCCAGCCACTTTATTAGCTATTTAAATGTCTTCTTCATTAAGATATTTTTGATTTTTGATTTTTTTTGGTCTTTTTGAGACAGGGTCTCTCTGTAGCCCCAGCTGTCCTGGAACTCACTATGTAGACCAGGCTGGCCTTGAACTCAGAGATCGGCCTGCCTCTGCCTCCCAAGTGCTGGGACTAAAGGCGTGCGCCACCACGCCCAGCTATTCTGATATTTTTGTTAGAAAAAAGTTAGAAACTGTAGGCCTCTGAAAATAAAAAAAATTGTTTTGGTCTTTTTGAGACAGGGTCTCAAAAGAGATCCATCTGCATCTGCCTCCTAAGTGCTAGGTTCAAAAGCATACGCCACCACGCCCAGCCTGAAAATAAAATTTGTGTACTGATTTAGTGTGACACATTCCTAGTCAAGAGTTTTTTAATTACATGTCTGATATAATGGTCCATAATACAAGATTCTTAATATTCCTGACTGGTTTTGAGTAAGTTATATTTTGGATGATTACTATAAAAATGCAGAGAGAGAGTCTCTCTGTGGCCCCAGATGGCCTGGAACTATGTAGACCAGGCTGGCCTTGAACTCACAGAGATCTACCTGCTTCTGCCTCCTGAGTGCTGGGATTAAAGGCATGTGCCACCATGCCTGGCTCTTTTTTAAAAAAAATATTTTATTATTTTTATTTTATGCGTATGCATGTATTGCTTGCATGTAGTTAAATGCACCTGTGTTGTGCAACACTTGTGGAGGACAGAAGAGGCTGTTGGATCCCCTGGAACTGGAGTTATAGACAGTTGTTAGCTGCCATGTGGGTGTTGGGAATTGAACCCAAGTCTTCTGCAAGAACAGTCAGTGTTCTTAACCACTGAGCCATCTCTTCAAGCCTCAAGAACTCTATTGTCTTAGCTCATAAAATTACTAGAAGCCAGTCTTTTCCAAGGAAGAATTCCAATTCAGGATGTTTACCTCTGACCATAGTAGCTTTCAAAGAATTGTTCCTTCCAAGGCTCCACTTTTTTCTCCTTCTCAATCTCTTGGCGAATTCTCACCTGCATTTCAGGGGTAAATTCACCTGCAATGTTATCAACAAAATGACATTGAATTGAAAAACATTATTCATAAATTTTAACTATTTACAAGTCATGAAAGACTCATGCAAGAACCGAATACTGGCATATCAAAGTAACAAAGTCCCCAAAGCACCTAACTGCAAAGACCTAAATGCCACTGGGCGAAACACACACTTTCAGTATGTTGCTAGGACCCACCAATGACTGTTCTCTGGGTATTCCCCCAAAGAACCTTCCTCCATACACATTCCAGACACATTTCTTTTATATCTAACCTCAAATTTCTAAATTATTTTCCAAAGGTATAAAAAGTAATGTTTTTTTTTCAGTAAACAATGGTACTAAATACTTTGTCATTTTAAAGTTAGATTTTTTCCACAGAAAACTATACTTGAAGCTTTACTTTTAACTGCGTAATGAGTTATGGCCAGCTTTAAAGGCATTAATATTCCAATGAAAAAATTAGAAGTTACTCTGGAGTTGTCAGTATTCAAAATGCTCCAAAATATTGTATTAACCTAGTGTCTTGGTACTCAACATACCAAAAACCTTAGCTGCTCTGCATATGCCATTTATTTGTATATACTACAAACCACCACAATCCCTCCTATTGTATCAGTGGAGAATAGTGTTATTTGTAGGAAATCTTAAATCATGTGGGTCAAAGTACTTGTCCTGCAAGACTGACAACCTGAATTCAATCACTGGAACCCACATTAGAAGGAGAGATCCAAAAGATGTCCTTTGACGTCTACACCAGGGCCTGCACTTACACATTTGTATCATACATAAACAGACACACACAAATAAATAAATTTAAAAACCTTTACTAAGAGGGCTAGAAAGATGGCTCAGTGGTTAAGAGCACTGGCTGCTCTTACAGAGGACTTAGGTTTGAATCCCACCACCCACATGGTGGCAAACAACTGTCAGTAACTCAGTTCTACAGAATCCAAAGCCTTCTCTCCTCCAATGGGCATTGCATGACATGGGTGCACTAGCATACATATAGGCATAGCACTCATACACATAAAAAACAAACAAAAACAAACAAAAAACAAAAGAACTATTACTATTGAAAGACATATATGCAGTACTAAAAATAATCAGTAAGTTTTAAATTAGTGCCCTCAATCTGCTAAATTCAGCAAATAAGGAACTAGTGATCATGGCCAGTAATTCTTAGTCAAGATCCATAAATGTTCTATCACTTCAAATGAGCAAATTCTGTACCATGTGAAATCCAGCTCAATAAGGCAGGTTCTCAATGAGTCCCTTTACTGTTTCACTAGAGTTGGCAGTAACAAAGAAGTTATCTAGCTGCTTAACCAAACTGATAAAAAAACACCATAAAATAAAGCTACACTTTGCCTAGTAAAAGCTTATTCAAACTTCAGTTCCTAAACACTAATTTAGAGTTACTGAGCCAGAAATGTTAGGACTAGTGCTTTAAAAAAGTTTTTCAGTTTCTCCAGTGACCTGAAATCATTAAAGAAACCTATTGCTGGATTCCATCAGGAAGATGGCAAAATGTTTCACGGAGAACAGCTAATTCTATGTTTTGGAAACTTTCCCTTTCCAAACTGCTTAAGGACCCATGTGGTGAAGTGCCAACACACTCTCCTTGTAGCTCCAAAGGCTCAGAGATGGGGGAGACCACAGAGTACAACACTTACCTTCTGAGAGTCTTTCCTTCCAGCCTTGGGCTGCTGAGGTGAAGAACTCATTGTTAAGGGCTGAGCCATTCAACTTCATCAAACCATCTGGACCAACCTGGGGCAAAGAACAAGCCAAGGAAAACTTTCAAAGAAAAGGAAAGATGTGATGGCAATCATGTCATTTTACAAAAGGATGAGTACACAATTAATCTTAATAGAAATATGGCTAGATCCTACCAAACTGTTTTATTTTCTACCATTATACTTCTTTAAAAAAAAAAAAAAAAGGCTTTCCCATTTACCTCTCCAACTCTACTTCCAACTCTGTTTCTCAATGATTAAAAAAAATTGCTCGCTGGGCATGGTGGAGCATGCCTGTAGTCCCAGCACTTGGGAGGCAGAGGCAGGCGGATATCTGTGAGTTCAAGGCCAGCCAGGTCTACACAGTGAGTTCCAGGCCAGCTGCTGAATCACACATAAATACACATAAACTTTATTTTCCTGAGAAGAGTTTATTAACTGATTTAGAGACGTGGTATGAAGTATAAACAGAATGTAATTTTGTTTTCCCATAGACTACACTGTGAAAGCCTTAAGTCAATTTGTAGATTTAGCTTCTTTTTTAAAAAAATATTTTAATTATTTTTATTTTATGTGTATGAGTGTATTGCCTGCATGTATTTGAGTGCACTTGTGTTGTGCAATGCCACAGAGGTCAGAAGAGAGCTTTGGATTCCCCTGGAACTGGAGTTAAGGACAGTTTGTAGCCACCATGTGGGTGCTGGGAATTGAACCCGGGTCCTCTGCAAGAGCAGTCAGTGCTCTTAACTGCTAAGCCATTTCTCCAGTCCCAGATTTAGCTTCTTATAATTGCTGCATATTATTTCATTGTGTGAATGTGCTTCAATTAATTTATTAGTTTCCTAATGGTAAACATACAGTATTATTAGTGTTTTTCCATAATCAACAATGCTGCAATAAACATCCTGGCAGAGATCAACATGGAAAGTGCTTTATTAATTATGGTCACAGAGGTTATAAATATTCCCCCATCTGTCTACTGAGTTCATTTGTGATGATTTGCTGAAAGGTTTATATATATGTAGATTAGGGATGCAGCTAAGTGCAAAGCACTGGAAAATTTTTAAAAATTTAATTACACGTATTTGTGTGTGTGCGTGCGTGTGCTATGATATACCTGTAGAAGTCAGAAGGCAAGAATCGGGAATTGGGTCTCTCGTCTACCATGTGAGTCTCAGAATCAAACTTAATGTTGTCAAGCTTGATGGCAAGTCCTGTTACCTGATGAGTCATCTCAGAGGCTGTAGGAAAAATCTGCACATTTAGAATCTGCATTTCCTATCTTGACTAAAAAAAAAGAAACCTTAAGCCAGGTGTGGTGGTGCATGCCTTTAATCTCAGCACTTGGGAGGCAGAGGCAGGCAGATCTCTTTGCATTCAAGGCCAGCCTGGTATACATATTGAGTTCTAGGTCAGCTGGTATTACAGGAGACTGTCTCAAAAAGACCAAAAAAACACAAACAACAACAACAAAACTTATTTAACATAGCAAGGAAAAGCAGCACTCAAATCATGTACAAAAATGACTTTGTTTAAATATTTTAAATGTAAATATATTCTCATTGAATATATATGGTAGCTTAATCAACTGAAATATGAAGCTTAAGAAGATAAAAATGGGTCAGGTGTGGTAGTGTACACATCTGCTGCCAGCATTTGGGAGGCAGAGAGGCAGGCAGTTCTCTGCCTCAAAAAAAAAAAAAAAAAAAAAAAAAGCTTGGTTTCATTAAAAGAACAGTTGTGGGGCTGGGGATGTACTTCAGTTGGTGGAGTGTTTGTCTAGTAGGCATTAGACCCATAAAATCAGGTGTAGTAGAACATGCAGGTAATCTTGGCACTTGGGAGGTAGAAGCAAGATTGGGAATTCAAGGCTACCTAACAAATCCTGTCCCTAATCCCCATGTCCCAAAAGAAAAATAAAGGATGTGCTGCAGACAATTGTCATGATGAGATAACAAAACAAGGAAAAGCGCCACTTAAATAAAATCTCAATCTAAAACACAAAACACACCAGGCATGGTAGTACAGCTTTTTAAGAAAAATATTTTATCATTTTTATTTTATATGCATGTATACTGCCTCCATGTATTTAAGTGTACCTGCGTCAGGCAATGCCCCCAGAGGTCAGAAAAGTGCTTGGATCCCCTGGAACTGGAGCATGTGGGGACTGAGAATCAAACCAGGGTCCTCTGCAAGAACAGCCAGTGCTCTTAACTGCTGAGCCATTTCTCCAGCCCTGGTGGCATAGCTATTAATCCCAGGCAGAGGCAGATATCCAGGCCAGCCTGATATACATAGCAAATCCCAGGCCAGCTGGGGCTACAGGGTGACCCCATCTTAAGAAAACCACAAACAGAGCACAAATTAAAAACACATGAATAGGAAAAATTTAAAACTGCCATTCTCTAATAAATTAATATCTTTCTATTGGAATCTGCATAAGCAGATTTTTCACGAACTGAATGGAATTACCCTAAATACAGAATCAAGATAAAAATGAGAAGGGCCCTTTTTCCCCACCCCTTAAGTCAATCCTGGGATAACGGTTTTCCTATACTGCCAAGCCAGCTTAATTCACACCCAATTCTCCAGAATCTCATTTCATTTTGTTATCATGGATGTGTGGCTCCAGCAGCCCTCAATACCAGTCCCACAGAGGAAAATCTCAACCCCACATCCATTTACATATACACACCATTAATTGGACTCAGGAGGTTATTAATTAAAAAAAAAGAGATGGACATGAAATTGGAAGGAAGATGGGTATTAGGGAGAATTGAAGGAAGGTAGTGATGGACAGACTTGATCAAAATACGTTACATAAAAGTATGAAATTTCTGAGTTAGGTGTGGTGGCACTGGGGAGGCAGAGGCAGGTGGATCTCTGGGAGTTCAAGGCCAGCCTGATCTACACAGTAAGCTCCAGTCTAGCTGAGGCTATAGGAGCCCCATCTCAAAAAGTCTCCCCCTCAAAAAAGTATGAAATTTTCAATAATAAAAATATTAAAGGAAAATCTGAGAAGGGGGAATTAACCTTTCTACGATTAAATCTGTTGAATCATAGAAAGCCAGTGAATTAAAACTATTATTACCAGCATTATAGTGAATCAAGAAACGAATAAAAGAGGGCACCTCTAAGTGCATACTATATATAGATGAACAAAATATATTATAAAGATGGTATTTCAAATAATGAGAAAAGTTATAAACACATTAAGTATATAGTTCTAGGACAACTAGCTAGTAGAAAATAGGGTTGGCTCCCAAATAAAGATAATACAACATGCCAGGTATGATGATTACAGGCACTTGGGAAGCATAAACAAGAGGGAGTTCAATGCAAGCCTGGGCTATATAATGAGGTCTTATCTAAAAGGAGGCAACAGAACAATCCAGTTGTATTAAAAACTTAAAACTGATGCAATCTCAAGAAAATTCCTCAAGATAGTCAAGTTCTGATCTATGAGGGAAGAAAAACAAACAAACAAACAAAAAAACACCTTAAAATTTGGGGAGTGCTGAATCTCCAAGTCAAGGCTGGCATCAAACACACAGCAATCCTCCTGCCTCTCAAGAGTCAGGATGACAGGTATGCACTACCTTATCCAACTCTAAATTTAAAGTCAAAAACAAAATTTTGAAGAAAATTATTTGACTATCTTAGGAATTTTGGAACTCTGCACAACACACTTTACTTTCTTAACCTATCTAAGCCAACATTACTTTCCTCTAGCTCTGTAGCAGAAACTGATACAACTTTTTGTTAAGGACTAATCAGTAAACACTTGCTGGTTCTATGAACTCTGTTGTAATAACTCAGCTCTGCTGTCAAAGTACTGAAGTGGCTATAGACAATATATAAACGAGTGGCTATGAACCAATGAAACTATTTATAAAAACAACTGGTAGTGGCAATTGTCCAGGTGGCTGACTATTGGCAAAGACTGCTGAGTGGTATAATAACAAACATCAAGTGAGAATCACTACTTCCATTTCCAGTGACAAGCACTCCACTGTTAAGTCAATCTACTTCACAGCTTATGCCATCAAACTTTTCTGTCCCCTCCTCCCCGGCCCCGACTGAGTCTCTTGTATTCTAGGCTCGTCCTGAGCACACTACATAGTGAGCCTTAAACTTCTGATCTTGTCTTCACCTTGAGAGTGCAGGAATTATAAGCATGTACCACCATATTCTGTTTATACTTGGGATCAAACCCAGGGCTTTGTGCTTGCTAGGCCAAGCAATCTACCAACATTCCCAGAAAGTTTTACTGTGAAAGTTGTCTTTTGAACCCCAATCTACTTTCTGAAAAATATTTACCACCTCCATATGTGACAGACGGAGTCTAAATGCTGGGATTAAATGCATGCACCACCATACCCAGCTTTCCCTAAGTTTTTTAATATTTCAAAAATAACATTCTATTTTTCCTTGATTCAAAGTGAGTTCAAAGACAACCTGAGCTATTACAGATCCTGTCTTTAAAGAAATTTTTATTTATAAGACCCTGCCTTTAGGCCGGGCGAGGTGGCGCATGCCTTTAATCCCAGCACTCGGGAGGCAGAGGCAGAGGCAGGCGGATCTCTGTGTGTTCAAGGCCAGCCTGGTCTACAACGGGAGTTCCAGGCCAGCTGGGGCTACAGGGACACCCTGTCTCAAAACGACCAAAAAAAAAAAGAACCTGTCTTCAAAAAAACCAATCAACCAACAACAAAAAGCGAAGAGTGGAAGGGCAGAGGGCTCATTCAGTAAAGTGCTTGCCATAAAGGAATGAGGGCCACAGTTCAGAACCACAGCACCCCACTTTAAGAGCCAGGCATGGCCTGGCAGCTGTAACCCAATACGATTAAGTGTAATTTTCAATTATTTATCCTTATAACCTGAAGTCGTGTATATTTTTAAAATAAGAGGGTATTTCTACATATGTAACACAGATGGCCTTGAACTTACTACATAGCCATATGCTAGAATTACATAAGTATGTCACCATACCCAGTCCTAACCAGACTGGATAATAAAAGTTTTCTTTATAAAAACTCCAAATTTCATGACAGTGAATCTATAATTCCACTTAATTACAACTGTATCCTCTCAATATCGCTCACATTACTTTGTGTTGCCACCTTATCAATAACTGAAAAAGACTGGCCAAGTAAATTCCTACTGAAAAAAAAAAAAAAACCCTACAGGATTGCCCTCTATGAGAAGTTGAAATAGCAATCTCCCAACGTCCCTTTTTTAAAAGCTTTTGTAGCAAATTTCCTTTGGGAAGAGGTAAGGGTGATTAGTAATTCCAAGAACTAGCAAGCATCAAACTACAAATAGGCCGTACGTACGTATGTACGTACACACACACACACACACACACACACACACACACACACACGAGATCAAGTAGGTCTTATATAAACCATGCTAACCATCAATCTCTTAATTTCTTCTAGTTAAGAATTAACTGGACCAGTCATGCTGCCGCACTCCTTAGTCCCAGCACTATGGAGACAGAGGCAGGGGGCTCTCTGTGAGATTGAGGCCAGTCTGAGCTACATAGAGAGCTCCTGGCAAGTGGGGGTTACAAAGAGATCCTGTTAAAAACAAAAACAAAAACCAGAATTAACTAGATGAGTATCTTCCAAAGTAAAATTCCTCTGAGAAGAGTTAAAGTAGAAAAGCAGTCACTAGGAATGAACAGTTTTCCTTTTGGTTCCCATTGCTAGAAGAGTGCTCGATTTACGTGGATTGTATAAACAAAAGATTTTGTACTGTTTTAACATGTGCTTATTCATAGCACTAAGACACTAATATCAATGCAGTATAGTTTAAGAGAATGCAGACTTCAGAATGAGAAAGATTTCATTTTGACTTTGTAATCAATTAGCTACGCAGTTTATCTTGTTAACCTCTTACTATAAACTAGAAAATATAGTTCATTATTATAAACTAGGAGGAAAAGGCCTTCCTTTCATGCTGTTTTAATATGAAGGAAACCGAACCCAAGATATTGTACGTGTTAGGCAAGTCCTCTACCACTGGGCAGTATCCCCAGTCCTGATTTTCCTTTGTTTACTTTTGTGTATGTTGTATAGGTGTATGTCTTCATTTATCTGGAGGTTACAAGCTGATATATTGCCTTTCTGCATGAGTTTATTTTTAAAGACAGGATGTTACACTGAACCTGAAGTTTTCCCAATTCAGCTAGAATGGCTGACCATCAAGCCCCAGAAATCCTGCTATCTCTGCCTGCCTAACAGTGGAGTTATAGATGCATGGCCATGTCAGGTTTTTAAAAAGGTGAACTGTGGTCCTCATGCTTGCATGGCAAGCATTTTACTGAATGAGTCATCTCCCCAGGTCCTCACAGTCCCTTTTTATTGCTGTTATTATGAGATCCTGTCTCGTGTAGTGCATGTAACCTTGAACTTACTATGAAGCTAAGGCTAGCCATGAAACCTGAACATCCTGCTTCCAACTCCCAAGTACTGAGAGATATGCATCATATCTCACCTACTTGTTTATTTTTTCAAATTTTAATTAAAAAAAATTTTTTTTAATTTATTATTTTTATTTTATGTGTATGAGTGCACTGCATGCATGTATGCGAGCTCACCCATGTTGTGCAATGCCATGGAGGTCAGGAGAGGGCTTCAGATTCCCCTAGAACGGGAGTTAAGGACGGTTCGTAGCCGCCATGTGGGTGCTGGGAATCAAACCCGGGGTCCTCTGGAAAAGCAGTCAGTGCTCTTAACCACTGAGCCATCTCTCCACCTTCAATCCCTCCATTGTGGTGCTGGGGATTGAACCTAGGATTCACTGACTCACTGATTCATTCATTCATTTATTCATTCATGGCTTTTTTGTAGCCCCAGCTGACGTGTAACTCGCTATGTAGACCAGACTGGCCTTGAACCAGGCTGGACTCCAACTCACAGAGATCCACCTACCTCTGCCTCCCAAGTGCTGGGGCTAAAGGTGTGCACCACCACGCCTGGTGAACCTAGGACTCTTAAATGCTACACAAGCATTCTACTATTCTATATTCTATATTTCCAGTCCCATAATCTTCATATTCTAGTAAGAGAGTCCATCCGTCACAATCCTAAATCTTATAAAACCGTGGCGCATGCCTTTAATCCCAGCAGACGGAAGCAGGTGGATCTCGTGTGAGTTCAAGGATACCCTGGTCTACATAGGGAGTTCAGGACAATTGGGCCTAGAGAGAGACCCTGTCTCAGAAAGACCAACAAAACAAAACAGCATAAAATAAAAATATTCTTATGTCTCATTTAGTTTCTGTTGTGTAGTGACCTTGTATGAACTGAAACACTCCCTTTTTAAGGACTGAGGGAAGCTCATAAAGGCTCAATCCCATATTTAAAGAGCAGGAAACAATTGTTGCAGAGGAAACTCTTCAGCAGGTCAGGCTGCCTGCTGGTTGCATAGAAAAGTCTGGGGATGCAGCTTTTTAAGTCATCACCCACGCTGGATAGACATTCTGATATGCAGCTGTATGTGAATGATCAATGGTCCTGTAAATAAGACCAGAAATATACTGGCTGACTAAGCTAACCTTGGGTGGAACTGTTTCTATGGCTTATCAGTGATACCCTATCTAATATGAATTGATGTTTGCCATGTCTCTTCAAGAAAAGTCACACAACAGTACCATTAATACTACTTTTTAACAGGTATACATAAAAAGATAGAGTGCTTGCCTAGCATAAAGTCCTGGATTCCATCCTCAACACAAAATAAACTGGGCATGGTGACACATGTCTGTAATCTCAGCCCTCAGGAGATGAATGGAGACAAGAGTATATGAAGTTCAAGTCATTCCCAGGTACGCAGCAAGTTCAAGTCCAGCCCATGATACATAGACCCTACCTCAAATTAAAAAAAAACATAATCTGAAGGAGTTCTAAAGGTGATAAATGGAAGAAGCTTAAAAAGGGTTAGAAAGTCACTTATGCTTCACATGACCTACCTGTCGATCTACTTCTGGAAGTAGTAAAAGCAGTCGCTGCTGGCAGTCTCCAGGAAGAACTGAAAAGGTATGCTTATTGATCAGTGCTCGCAGATTAGTATTAACTAGAATGGAGTCCGGTGTCTCAACATCAATGTCAGCACACTTAGTCCTTTTCATTTGCCCTATAAAATGTAGAAAAATAATAATTTATCACTTAGAACCCCTTTTTGTCTCTAACCACAGCTAGCAATGCAGTAAGGAAGAAAAAAATAAGTCACATGGGGCATGGTGGTGCATGCCTTTAGGAGGCATAGGCATAGGCATAGGCATAGGCAGAGGCAGAGGCAGAGGCGGGTAAATCTCTGAGTTCAAGGACACCCTGGTCTACATAGGGAGTTCAGGACAGCTGGGTCTACAGGGAGACCCTGTCTCAAAAAGACCAAAACAACAACAACAACAACAACAAAACCCTAAAACACAACTAAACTGAAAAAGGTAACACTGAAAGGTTCATACCTGAGATAATTATATCTCGCCCCAGATTAGGGAAGTTTATGAGAAATGATAAATAACACATACAGAATGCTTTAAAAAATAGAAAATTGGGGCTAGAGAGAAGGCTCAGTGGTTAAAAGTGCTTACTTGAAGACAACCCGGGTTTGGTTCCCAGCACCCACACTGGATGGCCTCTTAACTCCAGCTCCAGGGGGTCTGACTCCCTCTTTTGGCCTCTGTAGGCACCTGCATCCTACTAGAGGGGCTAGAGAGAGGGCTCAATGGTTAAGAACACTGATTGTTGTTGCAGAGGACCCAGTTCGATTCCCAGCACCCACATGGTGGCTACGAACTGTCCTTAACTCCAGTTCCAGGGGAATCTGAAGCCCTCTTCTGATCTCCGCGGCATTGCACGACACAGGTGCACTCACATACATGCAGGCAATACATACACACACATAAAATAAAAATAATAAAATTAAAAAAAAATTTAAAATTAGAAAATCCATGTGATAAAGCAAGTTACAAGCGTGGGGACCTGAGTTTGAACCCCAGAATCCACAGAGAAGCTGGATGTGGTAACCGGTGTCTGTGAATTTCTGTGCTCCTATAGCAAGATGAGAGGCAGAGTCAAGAGAATACCCAACAGTTCATAGGCCAGATACCTGGTGTATGCAGGAGTGTACAACAACAAAGAGACCCTGCTCCAGCACTAACTCGACTCAGTGGGTTATTGAAATGAATGAAGTTGGGAGGGAAAAGCCTTAGGGGTGGTCCAGAGGATAGGGGTGAAAAGCTGTGGGATAGTAGTGGTAGATATGAACAAAATGTATTTTATTCAGGTATAAAATTCACAAACACTAAATAAAGTATCATTTTTAAAAAGAAGAGAAATTCTGCCTCAAAGTGCAAGGTGAGGGTGAACACCTAAAGTTGTTCTCTGACCTCTACACAGGTGCTGTGGCATGCATATACCAATGCATACATACAACACAGACATTACACACATTTTTAAAAAAAGAATAGAAAATCCAAGCCAGACATGGAGTGTATGCCTGTAACCCAGCAGTTAGGAGAATGAGGCAGGAAGATCTGGAGATCAAGTCTGGGTTATACAGCAAATTCTAGGCCAACATGATCTGCATTTTTGCTTTCAAAAAGTAAGCAACAAAAACAAAAAAAAAAACTAAACAAATTTGAGTACACAAAGGGTTAGTAAAGCTAATTAAAATGCTATGGTGTTCTTTTTTTGTACATTTCTACAGATTTAACTATATTTCAATTGAGTTTCATTTTAATTTTGATCTTAATGTCTTTTCACCTTTTATTAGTTCATTATATTTAAATTCACTTAACAAAAATTAGGAAAAATCCAGGCATGGTGGTGTACATCTTTAATCTCTACACTTGGGAGGCAGAGGCAGGTGAATTGAATTCCAGGCACTGCCAGGGCTACAAAGTGAGATCCTGTCTCAAATTAAAAATTAGTATTTTTTTTTGTCTTTTTGAGACAGGGTCTCCCTATAACGCCAACTGGCCTGGATCTCTCAGAGATCTGCCTGCTTCTGCCTCCCAAGTGCTGGGACTAAAGGCATGTGCCACCAAAGGCCGGATAAAAATTAATTTTTTAAACACCAATTTATTGTGTGTATATTCATGTGTGGGGATACACAAGCCACAGGGCATGTGTGGAAGTCAGAGGACAACTTTCAGTAGTTGGTCTTCTTTCATCAAGTGGATCTCTCTGGGACTGAATTTAGACTGTTAGCTTGGCAGCAAGTATCTTTACCCACTGAGCCATCTTGCTGGCTACCTAAACTTTTATTATGCATAGGACTCTAGGACCCAGAAAATCTAGAAACACTGGCATAAAGTTATGCTACTGTTGGGGTAATTACCCACTAGTTCCTTCCTAAAGCATAAGCAAAGTCAGAACAGGTCACAGGAAAGAATTTAGAGCCTAAATCAGGTTCACAGGATTCCTACAAATTAAAATCTAACACAATCTCACAAAGATTACCCAACAAATTATAAGTTCTGCCTCTATGAATATCATTAGAAACCAGAAACAGATCATCTAGACCTAGAAAAATTATAGCTAGGAGATATATAGAATACAAACTATGTATAAAATGTTTAAATAGAGACTGTAAACATGAAGACAAGGACAATGAATATAATCAAGAACAGACAGACTTACTTTAAAAGTAGGCCTAATGTGGTAGCTAATGTTTGTAATCTCAGCCCTTGGAAGACAGGGGCAGGAGGATCACCAAGGATCCTCTGCTACAAAGTAAGTTAAGGGTCAGCCTACATTACATGAAACTCTGCTGGGGAAAAAAAACCCCAAAGCCCCGCTCCTGGCAGATTTAAGAACTACTGTGAAAGAAGAGCAGTTGGAGAGGACTGATTTAAAACATATCTTCTGGATATGGCAAGGCTGTTATATTCCTGAATTCACAACAGCTAAAGTTGTCTACAGGAGATCAAGCCAATATACATTCTTGCGTGAACAGAGAAAGGGCATGTGAGCTCCCACTGTTGGCTGAGGCGCTATTGGCAGCTGATGTCTGCTAGGGAAGAGAATCAAAGTTATTTTTTGAGACAGGGTCTCTCTATAGCCCCCGCTGACCTGGGGCTTGCTATGTAGACCAGGCTGGCCTTGAACTCACAGAGACTGGCCAGCCTCTGCCTCCCAAGCACTGGGATTAAAGGCGTGAAGAAAATCAATTTTCTTTTTTCTTTTTTGCAGGGGGGATGTGTCTTTTTGAGACAGAGTCTCCCTGTTGTCCCAGCTGATCTGGAACTCACTATGTAGACCAGGCTGACCTTGAACTCACAAAGATCTGCCTGCCTCTGCCTCCAGAGGTCTGGGACTAAAGGCATACACCACCACGCCCGGCAAGAATCAATTTTCTTAAGGGGTATGGTCACTGGTAGGTTGACAATGCTCCAGTGAATGGGCCCATATACCCATGTAAAAATGAGAAGACATAAAGGTGTAAAGGAAAAGTTGGGGTGGGGGTGTATAATAAAATATGTTAGATACATATGTTAAATTCTGAAAGAATGGAGTTGGAGAGATGGCTCAGTGGTTTAGAGCTTATCCATCGATTCATCTCACCAGCCCCAAATTTCCAATTCTTGATCTCCCATCAGGTTTTCCATGCTAAGCCTTCTCATTCTCTTCTCCTTTTTCTAAGCCTCTCAAAATAATTTACCTCTTGCATTCTTGATAAATGTGTTGGCTATATAATTTTAGTCCTAGTTCCTTGTTTAGTATCTAAAATTCTGTTTAATAGATAGACATTCTCTAGTTTCTACCATTTATAGTCAATATTTCTAAATCCATGCTGGCCTTAATCTCACAGAGCTCATCTGCCTCTGCTTCCCTCTGCTGAGATTAAAGACATGTACCACCATGCCTTGCCATTTGTGGGTCTTTTTAAAAAAAAATTTATTCTTTATTCTTAGAGAATTAAAAAAAAAAAAACATTTTATTCGTTATTAGTATTGCCTGCATGTATGTAAGTGTACCTGTGTCTTGCTATGTTGTCTATCTGTGAAGGACATAAGAAGGTGTCAGATCCCCTGGAATTGGAGTTACAGACGTTAGCCACCAATGTGGGTGCTGGGAACTGACCCCGGATCCTCTACAAGAGCAGACAAGCATGATGACCTAAATATAGAATTTCAGCATCTACATGAATGTCATGAAATGTTATGTGTGATCACATATGCATGTAATCCCAGAGATAAGGGGGTTATATAGGGGCAGAGACAGAAAGATACCTGGGATGATAGCTACTATAGCTGAAAAATGGTTCATTCCAGGGTTGGTGAGAGAGACTGTCTCAAAATAATAAGGCAGAAAGTGATAGAGGATGACCCCCATAATCCTCTGTCCAAGACATGGACACATCTTCCATGCATGTACAACACAGACACATAGGAATTAGAAAAGTAGGAGCACAGTGGAAAAAAAAAATTTAAAGTACAGCTGTACACATTTACCAGAACTTATGAAAGAAGCAAATCTAAGGATCTAGACTAGAAGCACAGCATAGTCCGAGTAGAAGAAATCTATACAAGGGCCAAGCTTAGTGTGTTTATTAAAGCCAGTAAGGGGTTGGGGATGCAGCTTAACACTTGTTAAGCAAGTACAAAGCTCTAGGTTCCATGGGGGTGTGATGTAAGGGAATGGATATGCTAGTAATGAGTTCTGACCTCTGCAAGAACTCCATATCTTAGGTACACTTACATTCAGGCAAAACACTCATACACACAAAATAAAAGTAAAATATTTTTTTAAAGATCCAAAGGCAAAGTAAATTAAAAAGAAGCACACAGGGGCTGGAGAGATAGCTCAATGGTTAAGAGTACTGGCCACTCTTGCAGAGGACCCAAGTTCCATTCCAAGCACCTTACAGCAGTTGTTAACTAACTATAATTCCAGTTGTAGGGGATCCCATGGGCACTGCATGACTTGAGGGCACTTTCAAACATGCAGGGAATACACTCATACACATAAAAAAAAAAAAACCCTATACATATGCACACATATAAATAAAATATAACCCATATCAAATGAAAAAAAAAGGCTACAAAGGAATTAAACAACATACAGAGGCCAGCAAGATTGCTCAGTGTGTAAAGGCTTGTTGCTAAACTTGATAACTCTGATCCTTAGGACCCACATGGTGCAAAGAGAAATGAATCCTGTAATTTTCCTCTATATCTGTGCTGTGACAACCCTCCTCACTATAAATATCTTTCAGGAAATTTTTAAAATCTTTATTTATATATTTATATTTTTATGTGTATGGTGCTCTGCCTGCATGTATGTAAGTGTATCACAATGCTTCTGCAATGCTTGCGAAGACCAGAAAGGGGCACTGGATCCCCTAGAACTGGAGTTATTGATGGTGTTAGTCACCATAAGGAAAAGCCATACATGCTCTCCACTATCATCTCTCCAGCCTCAGGGTGCATTATTTTGATTAATAAGATTGATTCAATGAACTCAGAATATGTGGACCAATTTGGAAATTCAATATTGTTGGCTTAAAAGACCAGGTCTCTGTATATTTCAAGAAACAGCAATAGGAATAACCACAGTAACAGCATCAACAAACTTACTAAGTACCATACACTAATCTAAGTATTAACATATTTTAATTCGTATTTCACACAACTTTATGAAGCACATAATGTTTACTGTTATTGAGATGAGGTCTTACTATACTGACCATACTGGCTTCAAACTACCAGGGCTCAAGAGATCCTTCTGTGAAGGACTCCTGCAAAGCTAGGATTATAGGCATCTAGAGCTGTGCACAGCTGAACTGAGTAATTGTTATTACTTGATGTCACAGATGAGGAATGTGAGTCCGAGATAATGGAAATATACCAAATTATAATATTGTTACAATCTGAAGTCAGAATGTAAGTGTAAGCTTAGAAATCTGTTACTTATCATTATCACATAGGTACAGGTATCAGAGCCTATGATCTCTGCCAAAAAGATATTTCAGTTAAAAATTCATAACAAAAACAAAAACATTCCTATATATTTTGAAATAGGCAAAAATAACTTCAAAATTATTTCTCAGACAACAAAATTATAGAACAGAGCTGGAGAGATGGCTTGGTTCCCAGCACCCACCTTAACTCCAGTTCCAGGAGACCCAATACCCTCTTCTGGTCTCCATGGGCACTGCATGTATGTGATACACTTACATACATGGAGACAAAACACCCACACACATTAAGACCCCTTTAAAATTCAACAAAAGACAATTATAAAAAAATTAAACAGGTTTTCAAACAGAATAAATAGCCCCCAAGAGGCAAAGGTAAACATTGTCAACAAAACAAAATAATAATGCAGGCTGGCCTGGAACTTAAGCCTCCAGTGATAGGATAGAGGTATACACCTTTCCAGCAAAAACCAAATCTAATAGTATTGAAGTATTTAGGAACTTGCACATTTGCCTGCAGATTTATCT